TTTGATGGAAAGGAATAAAAAGAATAAATAAATATTGGGTCATAAGGCAAAGCAGAATATCACAAAGGGTGGGGCTTGCTGCTACTCACAGCTCTCTACCTATAATTTTCTGCTTTGATTTATGACTCATTTCTATCAGGAACATCTGTTGCGGAATCTATTACAACAGCCCTTCCTTATTAGCACAGTGGTTACAATTGTTTTAGCTGCAAAAGGTTGCACAGCACCAGAGATGGTGCTCACCAGTATGAGGCCTTCATGAAGATGTTCCGATGTTTGTAAGTGAAGTTGAGTGAGGTTCTTCATGATAAAGTCCTGATGCTGGGCTTCCAAGGGTAAGTATGAGAGATAATCTTGGACTAGATAATATCTCTGTGGCCCAACAAGATTTTTCTGTATATTTTGGTAGATTTCATGGACGTATGGGACACTATGATTCTCATCATGATTTCATCATGATTTTCAAGTAATGCTGGCACAGTATCAGTTTAGAAACCTATTGGATTATACAGTCCTAGTTTTTTAAAATGAAATCTCTTTATTATTTGAGTGATGCATATCAGAGGGAACCTCATTCAAGTGGATTAATATAATAACTTGTTGACAAAATACCAGTGGTAATCAAAGAGTTAATCAAAAGATGTCTTGCTATTCATTTCCATCAATGAAATACAGGAGGAAGAGCAAAAAGCATCAGACTAAAGGATACAACTATCTCCAAATCTACTAGTGGGCATCAAAAAAAAAAAAAAAAGAACTAGCAGAACAATGATGATAATAGTGATAATGTTGGTTTTTTTGCTGCTTGCTCTGTTGCTTATCTTCTTCCTGAAACAACTTTGGACCCGAAGACATTTGCCTCCTGGTCCTTTGGCTCTGCCACTCATTGGGACCTTCTTGTCAGTTGGACTTTGGCTCCGTGAAGATTACTTCACTAAGGTATTTAATTCTAACCAGTCTAACTGATCATGATAATTCTCAATTCTCAAGCTTCTAACTGCTTCACTGAGAAAAATGTGAAATAATGGGACTGAATTTTTAGAAGGCAGTTTCCATCTTACCCATAGTTGTTTGATAATGGAACCAATTCTTCAGCGAGAGGTTGGATTCCCCTTCATTTTGTTCCAATGATACTAGACGTTCTTCTATTGAAGATGCTTTATTCTATGTTCCTATGGTTGACAATAAGTAGAACATTATAATCTAAATGGCCCCTCTAATTCTGCAATTGTGAAATAATTTTAAAAATGTTTTGCATTTGAGTTCCAAAGAGTAATTTCTATTTTAGATAATGACTCAAG